CCGCCTCCCGGGCTCGAGGATCGGATCAGGGGTCGGGCCTTGATGCTTCTCGCCCCCCCTCCTCCTCCTCCTCCTCCTACACCTACTCCTCTTCCTCCTCCTCCTCCTCCACCTCCTCCTGCTCCTCCTCCACCTCCTCCTCCTCCTCCCCCCCTTCCGCCCCCTCCTTCCCGTATCCCCCTCCTCCCTCTCCCCCTCCTCCCCTCGCTCTCCTCCCCTCTCTTCCTCTTCCTCTTCCTCCTCCTCCTCCTCCTCCTCCCTCCTCCTCCTCCTCCTCTCTCCTCCTCTCCTCCTCCTTCTCCTCCTCCTTCTCCTCCTCCTCCTTCTCCTCCTCCTCCTCCCCCTCCTCCCCCTCCTCCCCCTCCTTCATTCCGTCTCCTTATAGATATCTCCCTCCTGTCGCACCCCGAGGCCAGAGACTTCCTCACCACGTACGATTCTGAAATTTCAAAAGTAGCAACAGCTTCACAGATGGAGGCCCGGTCGCTTTCCAAATGTGGCTCTCGCCTTAGCGCCACGCACACTTGCTGCTTACATGTGCGAGAGCTTCGCGGATTGAGGGCGGGTGGTTAAAACACATGTGGTTCTCGCCTTAGCGCCGCGCACGTTCGTTTTTTACAACAAATGGCAAGGGTATCACGGATTGAAGGCGGGTGGCTTTCAAACTGTGGTTTTCGCCTTAGCGCCGCGCACATTCGTTGTCAACCATTGCAAGAGTTTCATGGATTGAAAGCGGGCCGTTTTCAAAATGTGGCCCTCGCTTTAGCGCCGCGCACACTCGTTGTCAACATTTGAAACAAGCTTCCAGGAGTGAGGGCGGGTGGTTTTCAAAATGTGATTCTCGCCGTAGCGCCGCGCACACGTCTTAAACCTTCGCAAGACCTTCACGGATTGGGGGCGGTTCCTTTTCAATATGTGGCTCTCGCCTTAGCGCCGCTCGCATTCGTTGTCAAATATCGCAAGAATTTCACGGATTCCCATGATCAGCGTACTAGAAATGGTAGTTTGGAACGGTTCAGGATTATGCGGGTGCAACAGTTATGTTGGTTCGCGGTGTTGAAGTCCCCAAAATGACGCTCTGGCACGATACCAGATCGTCAAGACGCAGCAGTTAGGTTGATACGTGGCGCCGGGAACAATGTTTTGGCACGCTTCAGGATCTTCAAACGGTTGTCTTCCAACGGGGCAGTTCAATGGAAATCAACCGTTGTGCGGGTTTATGAATAGGGGAGCTTGGAGGGAGGATTCATTCCAACATCGTTGATGACTCTTGGGTTTCCACTGATCCTCCTCCTCCTATTCCTCCTCCTCCTCCTTTCCGCCTCCTCCTCCTCCTCCTCTTCCTCCTCGTCCTCGTCCTCGTCTTCTTTCTCCTCCCCCACTCCTTCCCTTTATTAGATAACTTCTCCCTGTCGCACCCCGAGGCCAGTTTCTAGGGCGGGCCAGGCGTTTCGTCTGAGACCTCCGCACCATTTATGATTCTGAAGCTTGAAAACTGGCAACAGCTTCAGAAATGGAGGGCCGGTCCTTTTCCAAATGTAGTTTTCGCTTGAGCGCCGCGCACATTCGTTGTCAGCAAGAGCTTCACGGATTGAGGGCGGGTCGTTTTCAAAATGTGGCTCTCGCATTAGCGCTGCGTACATAGGATTAAAACATTTGCAAGAGTTTCACGGATTGACGGCGGGTCGTTTCCAATATGTGGTTCTCGCTTTAGCGCCGCGCACATTCGTTGCAAAAAATTCAGAACTTTCACGGATTGAGGGCGGTTCCTTTTCAATATGTGGTTTTCGCCTTAGCACCACGCGCTCTCGTTGTCAAAATTTGCAAGAGTTTGACGGGTTCCCATGATCAGCGTACCAGAAATGGTGTTTCGGAAGGGTTCAGGATTATGCGGGTGCAACAGTTATGTTGGTTTGCGGTGTTGAAGTCCCAAAATAGCGCTGTGGCACGATTCCAGATCGTCAAGACGCAGCAGTCAAGTTGATACGTGGCGTTGAAATCCCGAGAACAATGTTTTGGCACGCTTCAGGATCTTCGAACGGCTGTCTTCCAACGGGGCAATTCCCTCAAAATGGAAATGAACCGTTGTGCGGGCCTATGGAGAGGGAGCTTGGAGGGAGGGTTCCTTCCAACATCGTTGATGACTCTTGGGTTTCCACTGGTCCTCCTCTTCGCCCCGCCCCCGCCTCCTGCCGAAGCCGCCGCGCCGCCGCTGCCGGCAGCTGCCGGGGGCCCCGCCCTGACGCGGGCCCGCGCAAGAGCGTTGTCGTTGTCCTCGCCTTCGCCCTCCCAGGAGGGCAGAGCAGGGAAATTCGCCTCGCGATCTGTTGCCTCCCGGAGGAGGGCCCGTCGAGACGGCGGCGGCACGCCCATGGCGCTGCTCTGCCCTCCTGGTGGGGCTTCTCGTCGCCGCGGTTGGGCCCGCCCCAGAAAAGTGGCCAGGACGGACCCCGGGAGCTCGATGCGGAGCCCGAGGTTCCCCACGCCGGCGTCGCCGATGCATCGCCGACGTCGCCGACGCATCGTCGATGCATCGCATCGGCGATGCGTCGGCGATGCGGTGCAATCCCCCGACCCCATCCACTTGGATCCCATCTAGGATGCCCCCATGTGGGCCCAGCGGGAGAGCCGCCAGTGCCTCGCGTGGACAGCAATGGTCGCGATTCCATCGCGAGTCTCTGCTTAGCTGGTTCAGTCATCTGCAAAGCCACCCCGCCAGCATAGCAGCTCGGTCGCTTAGTGGGGCCATGTTTGGGTCACCCAGGTCAGGAGAACTTGGGATGTAACGTTCGTTTCCTGTACGGGTCGCATGAGCCTTTGGACCCACGGTGACTTTAGTCGAGGTCAGGGATTCCGCCGTGCTAGGGCGCGCCTGTCAGTCAGTCAGTCAGTCAGTCAGTCAGTCAGTCAGTCAGTCCACCTCATCCTCCTCATTTTCTTCCTCCGCCTCGTCCTCCTCCTCCTCGTTACATTCCTCCTTCCTTTCCTCCCTCTCATGCCTCACGCGGTGGTTTCGGCCCATCCCGCGCGTCAGCACTGGCCCCTCCTCACTCCTCTGCCTCCCTCTCCTCCTTCGCGTCTTTCGTCTCATTCTCTTCGCTTACTCCTCTCATGTCTACCTTCTCTTCCTCCATCCATACTCAGATGTATCCTCTACCTCCTGCCTCCTCCTCTTTCCCGCCCTCCTACCTCCTCATCCTTCTCATCCTCCTCCTCTTTCTCCGTCCTTCCCTCTCGTCCTCCGCCTCTTCCTCATCCTCCGCCCCCTTCCCCACCTCATCATCTGCCTCCTCCTCCTCTTCCTCCTCCTTCTCCCCTCCTCCTCTTCCTCCGCCTCGAGCACCACCTCTCTCGTACGCTTGTTTTGATGGAGGTCCGGATTGCGGCGGCAAATCCTCCTTCTCTGCCTCTTCCTCCTCCTTGCTCATCCTTCTCTCATCCTGCTATCCTTGCTCTTCCTGCTCCTCCTCTCATGCTCTCTCCTCTCTGCTCCCCTGCTCCTCATCCTCCATCTCCATTAATCTTTTCCTCTTACTCCTCATGCTCCTCACTTCCTCCTGCCGCCTCTTCCTCCTTCTCCTCCTCCCTCCTACATCCTCCTCCTTTCTCCTCTGCCGCCTCTCCTCCTCCTTCTCCTCTCCTTCCTGATCCTCGGTCCACGTCACGCTATCCTCGTTTCTCCTCGTCCTGCTCCTCCTCCGCCTCCTCTCCTCCATCCTCCTTCTCCTCTCTGCGCATCCTGCTTCTCCTCCTCCTCCTTCCTCTCCTACCCCCTCCTCCTCCTCCCTTGCGTTTCTCCTTCCTCCTCTCCTCCTCCTCCTCCTCCTCCTCCTCCTTTTCCTCCTCATCATCCCTCCCTCCCTTCCTCCTCCCTCCCTCCTCTCACTCCTCCTCCCCTGTCCTCTTCCTCCTCCTCTTCCTCCTCCTCCTCCTCCTCTTCCTCCTGTTCCTCCTCCTCCTCCTGCTCCTCCACCTCCTCCTCCTCTTCCTCATCCTCCTCCTGCTGCGCACTTCGAAAGGGCGCAGCTCGGTTCGGCCGAGCCATGGATTTGCAGGCGTTGCGATGATCAAGACCCGCCAAAAGAAGGAGACCCAGGCCGTGAATCATTGGATCTCTTGCAAAGTCATCATTCTGAAGGCGAAGGTGACCAAGGCCGGGAATCATAGGATCTTCGGCAAAGGTGTCATTGTCAAGGGCGTCGTGATGACCAAGACCCGCCACGTGAAGATGAAGGCGACCAGGTTCGGGGATCACTGGAATTTCGGCAACTTCGTCATGGTGCAGGCGTGCAGTATCTCTCCGAGCATTGTGATCATCAAGACCCGCCAGAAGAAGGCGACCGAGCCCCGGAATCATATGATCTTCGGCTAAGTCGTCATCGTGTAGGCCGGCCTCTGAGCGTGTTCGACCGTGCGGGGGCGGCGCGGTGTGTCTTGGGCCGTGGCTCGTCGCCACTGCTCGCCCGTCTCGTTTTTCGGGGTCGTTGGGCCCCCATTCGTCGCCTCTGCGGGTGCGGTCGTTTGTGCCTCGGGGCTTCGGGGTCGTTGGGCCCTCCTTCGTCGCCTCTGCGGGGTGCGGCTCGAGAATGTGCCTCGACGTGGGCCCGGGGCGCGCTCGGCCTGCGTGCGAAAGGGAGCTCGGAGCTCTTTGCGTCATCAGCGTCCTCAGCGTCCTCCTCCCCCTCCTTCTCCTCCTCCCCCTCCGCCTCCTCCTCGTCCTCCTCCGCCTCACCCTCCTACCCCTCGTCCTCCTCCTCCTCCTCCTCCTCTTCCTCCTCCCCTCTCCTCTTCCGCCTCCTCCTCCTCCTCCCGCTCCTCCCCCTCCTCCTCCTCCGCCGCCTCATCCTCCTCCTCTTCCTGCTCCTCCTTCCCCTCATCCTCCTCGTCCTCCTCCTCCTCGTCCTCCTCCTCCTCCTCTTTCCCCATGCTCCTCCTTTTCCTCCTCCTCCTCCTCTTCTTGCTCCTCCTCTTCCTCCTCCTCTTCCGTGCCTCCGTCTGAGGCCCAGCAGGGCAGATCCAGATCCGCCGCGGGAGGTCCGCGGGCCGCGCGCCGCTCTGCCTTTTGCTCGCCCGTGGCCCACGGATCTGGCGAAGAGAGGAGAGAGGAGAGAGGCAGGCTAGGTGTTGTCTGCCACATCTCACATGTTGTCCATCCCTCACATTCCTTTTCATTGCGCTGATGGTTCTATCTCCGCCTACGCGTGCCACAACCGACCTAAAACTTCAGTACCCGCGGCAAAGCACCCTGATGGCAACACAGGCGACTTGTGGGACCTCTGGGTCAAATGGGAGCTGTGGGACTTGTGGAACTTGTGGAAGTTGCGAGATTGTTGTCGCTTGTGGGACCTGTGGGATATGTAGGGTTGGTGGGAACCTGTGGGACCTGCGGGACTTGTGGGAACTGTGGTGCGCGTGGGATTGTTGGGACGTGTCGGAACCGTGGGACTTGTGAGGCCTGCGATATGTGTAGGAAGTTTGCCACTGGCGGGACCTTTGGCACTTGTGCGACTCGGGGGTCCATTTTCTTCGACTTGTGGGACATGTGACACCTACGGGACTTGTGGGACCTGTGGGACTTGCGAGACATGCGACAGTTGTGCGACTTGTGGAAACTGGAATGTGTCAGACCTTTGGGACCACTGGGACGATTTTCGACACTTGCGGGCTATGTGAGGCCTTTTGGGACGTGTAGAACCTGTGGGGCTTGTGAGACCTGCGAAACCTTTGGGACGTGCGAGGCCCGTGGGATCCAGACAAGGGGCCCATGTTGGGGCGGGACCGCCATTCTGAACGACGGGAGCACAGCGCCGATCCGAAAATGAGGCCCACGTTGCAGCGCCAACACCATATTTGAGACATTGAAAATCAGCGGATGTTTGAAAACGTGTGAAACAAACAATCCGGCCCAATCATGCGTGTCAGAAACATGACACGGATGGGTGCGAGAGATTTTCTGGACAATTGCACGGGGGAAATGAGAATAGTGTTCATATTGAGCACTTGTAAAGAGGAGGGGGAGGAGGAGGAGGAGGAGGAAGAGGAGGAGGAGGAGGGAGGAGGAGGAGGAGGAGGAGGAGGAGGGAGGAGGAAGGAGGAGGAGGAGGAGGAGGAGGAGGAGGAAGGAGGAGGAGGAGGAGGAGGAGGAGGAGGAGGAGGCGACGAGGAGGAGGAGGAGGGGAGGGGAGGCGGAGGCGGAGGCGGAGCGGAGGCAGGGAGGCGGAAGGAGGAGCAGGGGAGAGGAGAGGAGGCAGCGGAGGAGGAGGAGGCGGAGGAGGAGGAGGAGGGCGGAGGAGGAGGGAGGAGGGGAGGAGGAGGAGAGGGAGGAGGAGGAAGAAGAAGAACAGGAGGACCAGGAGGACCAGGAGGACCGAAGGACCAGGAGGACCAGGAGGACCAGGAGGACCAGGAGGACCAGGAGAAGGAACACGAGATGGAGGAGGGGGGGGAGGGAGGAAGGAGAGAGGGGAGGGAAGAGAGGGGGAGGAGGAGGAGAGGAGGAGGAGGAGGAGGAGGACCACGGGGAGGAGCAGGCGGCGGAGGAGAGATTTGAGGACGAGTTGGAATGGACGATGGAAGAGGAGGGACGGGGAGGAGGACGGGTAGGAGGAGGGGAGGAGGAGGAGGAGGAGGAGGAGGAGGAGGAGGAGCATTGCGGAGCGACAAGGATGACAAGGAGCACACAGAGGATGCATGAGGATAGATGATCAGGGGGGCCGGGAGGGGACGGAGGACAAAGGTTTGAGGAGGAGGAGCACGAGGGAGGATGAGGAGGAGGAGCAGGCGGAGGAGCAGGCGGAGGAGGAGGAGGAGGAGGAGGAGTAGGGAGGACGAGGAGGAGGAGGAGGAGGAGGAGGAGGACGAGGAGGAGGAGGAGGAGGTGGAAGATTAGGAGGAGGAGGAGGAGGAGGAGGAGGAGGAGGAGGAGGAGGAGGAGGAGGGGGAAGTCGCGCAGGAGGACTTGAGTGGAGGAGGACGAGTTGGGGGGAACGAATCTGGTTTGGGGAACAAGGGGGGGAAACGGGGGAGGGGATGGGCAGATGTGGAGGAGCAGGGCGCGCAGGCGAGGCGGAGCTCGGCCCAGCCGCAAGGGGCGTCGTCCTGAGGGTCGGCGCGATCGTTTCCTGCGAAGTGTCCGCGGGTCGAGGCGCGGTGCTGACGGCAGGTTCGCGCCGCTTCGGCGCGGCGGCGACGCCATCGCAGGAGCTCAAGGCCGAACACCCTCCGTCGAGGAACCACAGGCCAGCCTGAGCGCGGATGTCGAGAGGTCCGCGCGGACGTCTCGGGCCTGGGCGGGCGTGCAGGAGGTGGCCCACGGCTCGAAGTCATCACCACCAGTGTCGTCGATCGACTCCTGTGGAGCAGGAAGGAGATGCTTCACGGTGGGACGGTTCACGCTGTGGCAGAAACCAGGGCAGACGTCTGCAAAGCAGAACCCACTATCATTATGTACTCTTTAAACAAAGCCTATCAGCTCAGGGTACGAGTTCTCCTAGTACGCCTTCCCACACACACACACACACACACACACACCGCAGTCGATATGTTTGTTCCGAACGGCACCTAGGAGTTACGCAATAGGAGTTGCGTAATAAAATTGATCGCGCAGTCAGGCGTGAAAGTTAGCGCACTGTCCATCCGCTGAATTCTGGAAGATGTAAACTTTGAAAGGTATGGGTCGGCCTCCCCTCCTTCCTTTCCTCCTCACCTCTTCTCGATCCTTCGTAGTGTTCTCATCATCGCTCTCTTTTTCGCCATCCTTCTCCGTCTTCCTCTCAACATGTGTTCCTGCCAGCGAAGCTTCTGGAAGGAACGGACGGCTGAGGCAGGGTGAGGACGATGAGGAGGATGAGGAGGTTCCGTCGGTTCGTCTACTTGCCTTCTTGGTTGCAGGCTTCTACTGTGGCAGGCTAAGTTTTCTTTCTGAGGCCACATCGCCTAATTCAGTCGGTACCTCGTGTTTTCTTTGTTGTGGCGCCTCAACGACTCTACGGCTCATCGTACCAACGTTGGCGCAACGTAGTAAAACGTCGGTGGGTCCAACCCGTGGTTTGTCCCCACTGGGGGTCAGGAACAGGCCAGACATCATGCAGAAGCAGCAGCGAACCCTGCAGGGTGGCAAGCAGCGAAGGGAGAGGGAAACCTCTCTTATGTTGAAGAAGAACAAGCGCCATACACATAAACTGCTGGCGCTCCGCGCGGATTCCCTGGATCTGCGCCAGAACGCCCTGGCGGCGACTCGAGGTCCAGCGCGGATCCAAGAAATCCGCGCGGACCATCGACAGCTTATGTCTATACCGTTGTGTGTTCTCCTTCTCTGGAGGGAGAGGGAAACCTCTCCGATGGCGAGGGGCTCCCTCGCCGCGCAAGCCGCGGAAGCGCCGCCGCGGCAGCGCCGCGCAAGGCGCGCTGCCTCTGCCCCGGGTCGGCGGCCAGGGCCCCGCCCCGCCCTCGGCACCGCTCGGACGTGTGCATTGTTCTTTCGGCGAGGACCCTCGAGGAGCATCCTTGCCCACTTGGCGAAAGCACCACGCACGAGACCGAAAAAAGCACAGGGCATGGACGTCCGAGCGATGGCCAGCGGGCCCCGGGTCGGCGGCCAGGGCCCCGCCCCGCCCCGGAGGCCGCCCCCTCGGAGCGCGCGCAGGGCGCCGCGCGTGCGTCTCCCGCGGCGCGGCACGGGGCATCCGCGTTCCTGCGGGGGGCGGGGGGCGGCGGCCGGCCGCCGGGGGAGGTCCCCGGTCGCGCCGCCGCTCGTGGGCGAAGCACTTCGGGGGCCCCCAAACGGGGTGGTGACAACACCGTGTGGTGAGTCGGTGAGGATTCGGGGTCACCGCACGGTTTTGGGACTCGAGTCCCTCTCCGAGGACTCGAGTCCCGCTCGTGGGCGAAGCACAGGCGTCGAAGGAGAGGCAGCGGCACGGGCACATGAATAAGCTCTGGTGGCGCCCCGCGCGGGTCCGGGAAGGCGGCGCGGAGCGCCAAAGGTTAAGGTGTGTGCAGTTCCTCTTCCTCCAGGGAGAGGTCCGGGTCGCGTCGCCGCTCGTGGGCGAAAAGCACACGGACATACACACAGAAACACAGGCACACACACACACAGACACACACACACACCAGACACACACACACACACCAGACACACACACACACACACACACACGCACACACACAGAAACACACACACACACACACACACACGCACGCACGCACGCACGCACGCACGCACGCACGCACGCACGCACGCACTTCCACGGCCAGGCTGGCCAGGCTCCTGGGCTGCGACGCAGGGTGTCGTTTCGCGGCTGCCCCATTGGAGAACGTAGCCGTTCGTCCGCGTCTCCGCGATAGCGCGCCCCGGAATCCAGACCGCGAGGGCGCGGATGTGGATAGGTCCGCCGCTCGTGAGCCGCGGGGAGGTTCATGGTCTTGAGGGGGAGGAGGAGAGGGAGGAGGAGGAGGAGGAGGAGGAGGAGGAGGAGGAGGATGAGGAGGAGCAGGAGCAGGAGGAGGAGGAGGAGGAGCAGGAGGAGGAGGAGCAGGAGGGGGCCACCATTCGAAGGAGAAGACATTGCATAAGCATACTTCTTCGGAGGTCCGCGCGGATTTTCTCGGATCGGCGCTGGACCCCCGTGGCGGCGCCTCTGGCGCCGCCCCTGGCGCGCTCCGCGTGCCGGGGAGGGGGCCCAGCCCCGATCCAAGAAAGCTGCACGGGCCTCTGGAAGTGTGCAGTGGTTCAGCCACGCGCAGAAGGGGGGTGGGGGGAGGGGGGGGGGCTTCTTAGAAGCACCCCTGCTTCTTAGAAGGCGCGGGCCTTATCTATAGATGTAAGGCCGGCGCCTTCTAAGAAGCAGCCTGCTTCTAAGAAGCCCTCCCCCCTCCCCCCACCCCCTTGTGCGCGCCGCCAAGTGGTGGCCCATGCCAAGAACCACCCTGCGTGCCTCCAGGGTGCCCTGGGTTTCTCGGGCTTCGATGGTTTTGCCATGGGGAGCGTGACGCTCTCACGCCAGAACTCGATGGGCGCGTCCTGGGGTCTCAGG